TCATCTTTCTCATAAAGTGAGTTTTATATCTTTGGTTTGACAAAGGTAGTTTCAAAACTATATTTGCCTAATAGATAGAGTGATAAAATGTATCAATATTTACATGTGAGGCTGAAATAAAAAATAAGGAAAATGGTGGGGGGAACTTATGCTAAAAACTTTATCTTGCAGTGTAGCATGATGATAGGTGGTAATTGCTTCTGGCATGTGGTGAAATGGTGTTTCACATCTGTTCTTTTGTGAAGGCTGTTAAGTGAGATAAATCTGGTTGAAATATTTCTGGCAGCTGTGTGACTTTTCTGGTATATTCAGCTGGTTTAGTTTTATCAGAACTGTGTTTGCTGTGTAGGAGAAGATTCAGCAGTATAAAGCAGACTTTTCACTGTATGCACTACAGGTGTCCAGGTGTCAATGACCTGATTTTGAGGGGTCTAGTATATGCAAGAATATCTGATGCACACAATTTCAAAGCATACGTATTCATTGGCATGGTGCGTGCTGTTGTACCCCATAGTCAAGTCCGTGTAATTTACCTGCTCAAAGAGAGGACGTGCTAGGGAGCAGTCCTTTGGAAAAAGACATGGGGTACCAGTGCATGAGAAGCTGGACATGAGCCACCAATGCACAGCAGCAGCCCAGAAGGCCAGTCGACTCCTGGGCTGCATCCAAAGCAGCGTGGCCAGCAGATGGAGAGAGGTGATCCTGCCCCTCTGCTCTGCCCTGGTGAGACCTCACCTGGAGTGCTGTGTCCAGCTCTGCAGCCCCCAGCACAAGAAGGATGGGGACCTGTTGGAGTGTGTTCAGCAGAGAGCCACAAAAATGACCAGAGGTCTGGAGCAGCTCTGCTGTGAGGACAGGCTGAGGGAGTTGGGGCTGTTCAGCCTGGAGAAGAGGAGGCTCTGCGGGGACCTTATAGCGACCTTCCAGTACCTGAAAGGGGCCTACAAGAAAGCAGGGAAGGGTCTGTTCAAAAGGGTAGGAAAAAGTTCTTTCATATGAGGGTGTTGGATCACTGGAATAGGTTACCCAGGGAGGTGATAGAGGCCCCACATCTGGAAACATTCAAGCTCAGCCTTGATGAAGCTCTGAGCATCCTGACCTAGTTGGAGATGTCCCTGCTTATTGCAGGGGATTGGACTAGGTGACTTTTAAAGGTCCCTTCCAACCCAATACATTCTGTGATTCTATGAAAAGGGAGTTACAGCACATTTGTGAATGTTTATTTCCCCTTTACTGTGTGGCAAGAACATGTATTCAGCCAGGTGCCACTGAAGAATTGTCATGTCCCTCCTCACCTGTGGTAATTAGTTTGGCCTCACCTAGATAAGTATGTTAAATTAAACTACTTTATTGGAAGTTTTAGTAAAGCAGTCAGTTTTAACTTTCCTTTTGCTTAATCAGAAGTAACGTGACACTTTATTTACCATAAAATAGCTTTGGTTTGAGCTGTAGCAGTGATGATTCATCAAAGTGTCAGAATTGTCTGCAATAAAAAAAGTGGAGTTGCTGAGAGTTCAGAAGAACATTTGCTATTGTATTTGGTGTGTTTAAAGACCTACAAATCTTGTGAAGGTTGCCAGTGAGGTTAAGTGTGCTGTATGGCACTAACTGGGGACATGACTTTTCTGTGCCCACTTAACCAAACAACTTCCTTTCATCTGTTCCTGCACGCTGTTCTTCTCTAGATGCTCCTGTAAAGTGCCATACACATCCTTCCCCATCCCCAGCAGAGGAAGTATTTCACTGGTAAAACCTGGCTGAGTTACAGGACTCTGAGGCTGCTTAACACAAAAAAGCCATGTTATGTTCATTCTCCTTTCTTTTTAGTTTCTTTCACTTGTTCGTTGGATCTTTTCTCCCATAGTCCAGCTCTGCATCATAGTCCATCCCAGCTTAAAAAGTGAAGTCTGTTCACTAAATAGATTTCTGCTTTGCTTTTCATGTCTCATTCCTTTTCACGTATTCTGTGTAATTACTGACCAGTGTTCTTTTTCTCTAGCTTCCACTGAAGTCTGAATTTGACTTTACACTAGATTAAAATTTTTCTAGTTGGTTCTTGTGGTGGTCATAGACTGTTCATGTTCATCCTCTGTGATATGAGTATTTGACAGTTAGCCATATTCTTTTTGAAATGGTGTTTTGCTCTTCTCTTCCTTAGCGTTGTCTAACAGTATTTTCCTTCATCTTCATAAAAGATTTGATTTTAGGACTGTCCCTCCAAGTTTTTTAAGAATTCCCAGGACTTGAAGTTGCTTCATCCCTTCTCCTGACAATGTACTCCTGTGCTCTGTCTCTCTCCTCCAGGCCTGTCTCACTTTGTCTGAATTTTATACCATCTCATCTCTTCAGTATACCTTCAGATACTTTCAGTGTCACTCTGAGCATACCCTGTCTCAGTCTGTTCCTGAAGCATCAACTGTGCCAAGCCTCTTGGAGTAGAGTTATGGGACTCTAAATCCTGCATGATCTGCAGTGATAGTTTTTAGTACTTTAAATATATATATCTATCTTTTTGAATCATACATATATATATATGTATTAATAATTAAAAAAATGGTCTTTAACTTGAACAAGGTTTGGTTTTGTTTGGTTTGGGAGTTGTTTGTTCGTTTGTGTTTTTACCTAGCCTCCTAGCAAATATTTATTATGGAAGCATGAATTTGTTGTAATGATTTTGTTTAAGAGTTCCAGAGAATCCCGTTTTCCCAGAAGTGGTTTTGAAAAAGTGAAGTGTAAGCATGAGATGTTTGTTTCAAAAGCTTAGCAAGCTATAATAAAATGTGCCAAATCTGTATAGCTCCCAGATGGTCAGTAGCATGCCTGAAGAGAGCCATTGTAGTATTTTGGGGGAGCTGTGGGATTTCATATGCTATTAAATAAAAATTGGCAAGATCCATCAAATCTACACTGAAGCTATCCCAGATGTGTTCAGTTCTCAATAATTTATTCCTTTTTATGTCATTGCAATAAAGAAGAGAAAACAGTAATTAAGTTCTGGTGTGTTTGTTTTTTTTTTTTTTTTTTTTGTTTGTTTGTTTTTTTTTGTAGTGAGGGGTACTTTTTATTGAAATCACTGAGTAGGTAAAATTAAGTATACTGTATCTCTGTACTCATAGTAATTCAGTACTCAAAACATGTTAGTCTTTTCTTAAAAGTACTTTATTACTAGAGTTTAGATGTTAAGTTACAATGTGTATAGAGATTAGGGTTTTACTTTAGTTGGAAATGTTAATTTGATATTTTAGAAAGTCAAGATATGTCCATTACTAATATTCTGTGACTTCTTTACTGGTACATTAGGTAAGTTTTTATAGTAATCCCAGACATCTGAAAACTAAGGAGACTGTTGTAAGACTGTTTTGCTTAAAAACTGTTTGCATTTAGACAGAAAGAGATAACCACATTTCATCTTAAATCATGTATCACTGAGCTTGCTGTTGTCTTAGTATTGTATAATCTGAAGGAGGTCTAGGAGATTTTTTTATTCAAGCTCTTACTCAAAGCAAGGTCAACTAGAGCAAGTTGTTAAGGATGTAATCCAGTTGGGGCTTGGATGTCTCCAACAACGGAGATGGGTTTTGGATGTCTCCAACAATGGAGATGGGTTTTGGATGTCTCCAGAGATGTCTCTAGAGATGAAGATGGATTTAAACATAATTTCCTGTGCTTCAATTTGTGCCTGTTTTTCTTCTTGTCCTGTCACTGGGCATAGTGTGAACACTTGCCCATGGGGAATGAACTGAGATGATAAATGCGCAGCTAGCTGGTGGCTAAACTTTGAGGAAATTATTGAAACATCCTTTGCTTAGCACTCAAATTAAGCATCATACTTAGCAGTGTCACTACAAACTAGAAATACCAGAATCAGAATGAGGGTTTGACTTCAGTTACTTTGCTTCCCAACTCTATCCTTCTGTTCCAAGTCTAGTCAGAACTTCTGAATTCTTCATGTGACTGCTCTGGAAAACCTGGAATGTGAAATACAAGCCAGAGGACTGAAAAATGGGGAAGAGAAAGAGAAGGATGGATGAGGAGTAGAGGAAGATAGAAACTGTTTTCATACTAATTGTGTGTGAGAATTATTTGAGTTTTATCCACACTATATTAAAATTTCAGCATGTGTATCAATCAAGAGTAACTTTTCATACTTTTTAAATGAAATTATATAAATATAGAGGTTCTTATACAGTTCCATAACAAAGGTGGATTTTGAAACAGATTCAAACAACACGTGACACTCGTTATTTTTAATCTGAGACCACCTTTAGGGCTGAAAAATTGCATCCCTGTAACTACATCTTACTATGCTGTCACAGTTCTTCAATATGGTTCAAAACCCCAGTGTGCCTTTGTCCATGTTTTGCCTCTTTATTCAAGACAAAGACCTACTTTTTATTGTTTTAGGTCAATGCTTCTGTTTTGTTCTGATTTCTAGGGAGGGGCGACGCATTGTGAAGCTACTGTCAACCTTCTTAAAGTTGAGTGATTTAAGTATAGCTGTTTAAATTCAGCCTTCTTATGTCTTACACAGATGTCTTTAGAGTCTTCTCGCATTACAGAAATGCAAGAGGGCAACTCCTACGTATCAGCCTTTTTAGGCTGAAAATAAATTTTGAATTATGAGTGTAGCAAGGCACCATGGGTTCAGAGTATATTTCTTTGTGCTTGACTAAGGATGATTTTGACAGTGAGGGGTATTGGACTCGGTTCAAGACTCCTGGTTTTAAGTCATCACTTTGCTAAAAAATTTGCTTATGCTTTTGTCATTTATGTTGACTTGTAAATTCACTTGAGGCCAGCAGTGCAGTAGTGCTTGGCATCCATTTGTTCAGAAGAACAAATGGCCGGTCCCTGGAAAGAGTACAGTATGTCTTAGAGGGAGGTGATTAGAAGAATCATTAATACTAATGAGATGCCATGACACTTTAAGACAATATCAGGATATAAATAGTGATACCTAATTTAAGTATAATAAGACTGTAATGTTATTTTAACTACAGGTACCGAGAGGCTATTCACAAGTGGGATGAAGCACTTCAATTAACTCCAGAGGACGCTACGCTTTATGAGATGAAATCACAGGTAAAGCATGGCAATTCTTTATCAGTTTAGAAGTCGAAAAAGAAAACGGTGAGCTTATGAGCAGGTGCTGAGCAGCACTGTGTAGTTGTGTGTAAAAACTACAGCACGATTTAGGTTTTTCGTTTTTCCTGACACAACAGTGTATCTTTTAACAGGAATTAAAGTAACGCTATTATCCCAGCCAATCATACTAAGTAACATCTTTGTTAATACATGAATCAGGCTGTTGGAGTGTGGAAAAAGCAACGGAAATATTTTAAAATTGTATCTGGGAGGAGCAAGGAGGTCCTTACTGTGATTGATTAAAAATCTTCCTGGTCTTTCTAAAGAGTTGACTTAATACTATCAACTTTCAAAAGGAGTGCTGTATGCAAATGATACCTTCCAGTCTGTTTTGCAAGACTATCTGTGTAATAATATGAAGAGAGCATTAAACAGTATACTTATAATGCCCATTCATGTGAGCCTTTATTTTAAATCTGTTTTGAGGAAAAAGGCTGTCAACATCTCATTAAAGTTATGAGATAGCTTGTCCTTTCACTGTGTTTGTGCTGCTTGCATGGCAAAAGTGCCAGGATCCATTGTTTTGTTTGGACTAGGAAGCTTTTGTCTCCACCTGTATGCAAAGGTACAAGAATATGTATTTCTGTTTTCTGTGTTAAATAAAAATGCTTTCTGCAGAAATCATTCTAATTAGGATTGGGGATAAGAATGAGAAATGTATGGCTTCTTTCAACCAGCTGGACAGATTAGAATGGGAATAATTATTTTTAGGAAGGTAGCTTCTCAAAACACGGCTGAAAAATATGTTGTTTAAAGTTAGGAGAAAGGAGAAGAATGTAAAACCATGGTCCTTCTGTGAATGTCTTTTGTAACTTTTAGGAAGCTTACTATATTGTTGAGTTTTAAAATCTTCATTGTTACTATAATTCTGTTCTTGTATAAAAAGCTGCACTCCACCCACCCCCCTGCCTCACCTCCCTAAATCCCCAGAATCCAAAACAAAACAATAACCACCTAACTAAATACCCAGCCCCTCAAAAAAGCCCAGCAAAACCCAAGAAGCAAAACTGGCCATTGTCAAAGAAATGGTGACTGCTTTCTTTTTTTTTTTCTGGATACTATTGCATCTGCTCCTCAAAGTCATGTTGTTTGTGAACTGAAAAAAGTTTGATTCTGCAAAAGAATTAATTGAAGACTTATAAGCTCATTTCAATACAGTAATGGTGAAGGAGGCTTTCCTTTTATGTGGCTGCAGAAAATTTAGTTCTTACTTGATTTTGGAGTTGGTTTTAGAAATACTTTAGCTTTAAAGATTTTTCTCCCTGAAGTATATTTTGAGAGAAGTGTATTGTTCGATTGCTTTGTCAACATACCATATGTATGTAAGTCACCCAGATAGACTCTGTTAGGAAAAACTTGTGTGTATAGTGGGTTGATTTCTGACTTGGTTTGTTAATTTGGATTGTGTTGGTAGTAAGATGTGGTAACTGTTTTTGCTTTAAAACAATGAATATTTTTAGTGCAATTTGCTCATTCAGTGTCCTACGTGATGCTGAAAAATGAATATTTTTTTCTTCCCACTTTTTTACCAGGCTAGATTTATAGTGAGTTATTTATTCTTAACTTCTGAAACAGGAGGCATATATCTTTAGAAAAAAAAAAAATTAAAAATCTGTTCACGTGTGTTTTTCAAACCTTGTGGAAATTCTACAGTGATCCTTTCTCTTAACTTGGGCACACTTAGGGTTAGGTCTGTATCTTTTTTAGATAGCGTATTAGTATTTATAATCTGCATGATTTAGGTGCTTGACTCCTGCATACTTCCAGAGTTCTATGGTAACAAAGCATCTTAAACATGTAAACTTCCTTTGATTATTACTTGTATTTGGATGCCTTTCCATCTAGCCTAGAATCCTGATGACTTCCAGCAGTGGATATCTAGGAAAGAATAATTCAAATGGCACAAGCATGTAGCTCTACGTCCCCCACAACACCTTTCCTAGCCTACAGCAAGCTTCAGCCCTGGGACATCTCTGCTTAGAAGTGCTGCAAAGATTTTTCTTCAAGGAATTTGTCTCATTGCTTTTTGGTCTCATGTAAACTTTTAGCATCTACAGAGCTTTGTGCTAAGAGTTTGCAAATCTTAGTTACATGCGCTATTGGAAGAGACAGGATAATATAACTCTGCTTTAATTACAGCTTTTCAGGTTGCTGTAAAGATTGTTAACTTATGTAACTGTTTGTACATTTATTTTTTAACTCCACTAGTAAAGAAATTCTATTAAGATGTGAAAATGGTATCAATCCTACTTTTTTTTTTTTTACTATAGTTTAAAGATTTAACTTTGTTTTGAATAAAACAGATCATCTATTAGGATTTGTTGTAGGTTGGAAAGGGTTCATGTGGCTTGATGCTGGCTCCTTAGCACAAGAGTTTTTTTTGAAGTAGCTCTTGTTTTGCAATTAGAATTTCTTTTTACTTAAAAGTCAGTGAGACAAATTAGTTAATAGCTCTCTTGTAAAAGTTCCGTACTGTGGCCTTACTTGAAGGCAGGAATTAAGTACTCGATTTGATTGAAATTCTACTAAAATTAAATATGTGCACAGTGGAAATGACAGAAGAAGGAATTTTGTTAGCTTACTAGGACCTGAACTATGATGCAGTGACTTTTTGCAGTTGATAGTTACCTCAGCATCCTTCGGTCTGTGCTCCAGCTGCAATACCTAATACCAAGGAGTTACCCCAGTCCCTATATTTCAGCTAAATGGCAAATATGAGTTGGAGGAATAAGGCACACAGGTTTCCTGAAAAAAACTAGAGGAGCTGAGAAACCATCTGTGTGACTCAGATTCATCTTGTAAAATATCTTTGTCTAATGAAACTATTGGAGAGTAATGAAAGCTGAAAGAGTAAAGGAACCAAGGCCTGTGCTTCCTCCATGCCTTTGCTTCCTTTCCTGTAGAGGAGAGCAGCCAGTGCTGGCAAGTTGCACAGTTTCTCTCTAGTTTCACTTGCTGAAATTGCATAACTCTTCTGTTATACTGTGAAATAAGGACACAAGAAAAGTTTGTGTACAAAGTATGCACTTATAAATTGTGTCTTGAATCTTTTTAACAAAGCCTCTAATTTTTAAATTGGTAACATCCTTTGTATGTGAAGTAATTATTACAGATGGTTTTTGCAGTATGACTTATGCTTACTGGAAGCTGATTAGTGTAATGCGTAATTTGATACCTTTTTACTTTTAAAGGCACTAATGTGAGCTGTAAAAAATCCATTTTTGCCAAAACAAGAACATTTAACTCATTCAAAAACCATTGTGGTTACTATTTAAATGATACTGGTTTAGATCTGACTATGTTATTCCAATCCAGCATACTATCACAAATGCTGCAGCTGTGATTTTTTAGCTAGATGAGCAAGTTTTGGTAGCTCCAGAATGTGGAAGAACTGTACACCCAACTTCAGAAAGGTCTGGACCAGCACTGAGGCTGTGAAAGTCTGCCTGTCTTCAGATGTGAGTCATATAGTAGAGAAGGTGATTTGTGTCAAGAATGACTTTGTGCAGTATGCAGAGATTCTTTATGGTCTATATTAATTTTCTATCAGCAAGGAAAAGTCTCCTCATGAAGTAATTTATTTTGAGAACTAACACTGGATTATATTTTCATGGGCTTGAATATCTTGAAATACATTTCTTTAGATAATCTTAGGTTGGGTTATATAATAGCTTCCCAGTTTGTTTCTCAGCAACAAACTTCAACTTTTAAATATTCTGTTGTTTAGTATGCAGCTCAGATTAATATACTAATGACACAGTAGGTATTTGTAAATATTTATGGTAAGATCTTAATGATCTGTATTTTAACAGATGTAGGACAAATGTCTTTCAGTCTTTCTAAAGAGCGGAAATGGTCTTTAAAGTTCCCAGTTGTCAATGACACTTGCAGTAAGTGTTTCCAGAAAAACATATGGGAATTGTGGAATTGCTCAACTGTTTCAAAACCCTATAAAAGTTGATGAGATTTTTTTTTTTTCTCCATTACTCTCAGCTACTTTTTGATCCATTTATAGACAGATTATGACTGGGTGTGGAGAGGTTAGGGGTACACTCAGACTGTTCTTTGCACACGGGAGTTTTCAGTGTGTATACCTGATAGTCTGTTACCAGTCTAAACTGCAAGGGACTCTTTCTTGGGTGAAGAGATATCAAAACAGTATGTTATGATATCTATTACAGACTCTCTTCGGAAGCAGGCACTCTGCTGTTCTACACCTCTTCTGAGAACTTACCTAGTTCTTGTTGCATATCCAGTGATATTACACTGTAGATCTTGGATAATATTGTTGAATATACTGTGCAACTATGACAGGATTCCTCAAGTACACAATGCAATTGCTTATAGATACTTATAGAAACATGTAAGTACAAATATAAACAGTCAGGTTTATCTCCATTTAATGAGTTTTTGGAATGCTTGTCATCAGCTGCTTGAGGATCTAGTTTCTATAGAACCCTGCATCCTTAACTTGCATTCTTTGAACAGGACCAATATTTCCCAATATTTCAGTTGTATATCTCTGTTTTTTTTAATAGGCCAAACCCATCATATTCATAATCAAATCATTCAATTTTCCCTCTTCTAAAGATTTTCTTAATCTTGACCATGGTGAAGAAACAGTATTAACTTCCACCCATTCCTCTTCTTGCTAAAGAAATCAGAGAATCTGTAAGACATGACTAGGCTCACAGTCTCAAGTCTAGCTTATAACAAATCACCTAATTGCTGATTATTTTAAGATTAATATTATTTGTAAAATGAGGAAGTATTGAGAAGATTTTTACCATTGAAATGCTGACATAAACTACAGAAAGCTGCATAGCAGAAGGTATTGCTATGTGGTGCAATGGTAATTGCTTTACAGCATGGACAAATGTAAACTGCTTATGGGTAGGAAGAATTTTATTCATCAGTGTTTTGAAATGCGTTTCTGGATAGAGAAGGAATTGGGTCAGTTTCACTGGACTTGAAATGTATCTATATATAGTGATTCAGCATTAAATCAGTGAGCTAATCTAAACCCAGGATTTACTCAGATTCGTAACACTTCCAAAATATTGTGGGTAGGACAGAATGGGTCATTCTTTCATTCTTCTGCCTGGATTTTTAATCCTTGGTCAGTCTTCTGATGACACTTGCTATGTTTAATTAGGGTTTTGCCACTGACTTCTTCTAATTCTTCTAATCTGTGTGTTTTGGGTTGTTTTAGTTTTTTTTTGTTGTTTTTTTTTTTTTTTTTTAAACTAGATCTATTAAACTAAGTCACTGTAGTTTCATGGATGTTCTTTGTTTTAATCTATGTGATGATGGTAAGTCTATGTTGAAACAGATTAAGTTCTGAAAATCTGCCTGTTGAACACCTTTGTAAGGCCTTTCCCTCTAGTAATTTTTAAATAATATGTGCATGAAAAACTTGAGATTTTTTTTCTGCCTGGTAAGATTTTTTAAAAAATGTTTTCTAGTGTAGTATTATTGCTATAACTGAAAAATAAACCAACTGTGCAATGAGATGACTTAACTGTGAAACTTAAGTGCCATCCTGCTAATGAAGTTTGCAAAAGAAAATTAATCTGACAAATAAATTTGCAAGCAACAGGGAAGGAGTAGCATCATAGTGTGTCAGTTCCTAAAAGTGTGTTCGTAATCAAGCACACACATCTTCATCTTTACCTTAGGTGATTCTGGGAAATAGCCCTTTGTTGTCAGAATTTCCTTCAAAATGGTTTAAAGACTTGTTTTATTGGCAGGATTGTCTGTTTATGAAGATTTTTCCTACATAATTTTGATAAGTGAGAGCTTAATACATTCATATTCTCAAATGAGAAGGTTGTATTTATGCATTTTCCAGAATGCCTGGACATGTAAAGTCTAAAAGTTGATGCTAAAGCTTTGAAGAAGAGGGATTTAAGTGGAGTTTTCATGATACGTAGTTCCTCCGTGAAGCATCATGCGACTTGTCTGGTCACTGGAAGATAACCTAATGTGGCTGAATTAGTTTCTCTACAAAGTAAACATCTGTTGAGAAAGAAATGTTATGTCTGAGTACTCTATTATAGTTGTTTGTGACCATTTTAGAGTAAAGCTGCTGGTTTTACTAATAATCTGAATGTTTTGCAGGAAGTCACTAGCAGAGGGTGTCAATTATCTCTGCTGTCAAAAAACCCCAACCAAACCCACATTGAAATTGGTGTGAATGTAATTTGAATCAAAAGAGATTGTGCAAAGTTAATAATGAAGTAATATAATTATATGTGGGTCTGCATTGGTGAGAAGATGATGGCTTGTAGTTTGCAGTCAGTTGCACTGCAGCAATTCATAAGGGATTAGGAATGGTGAAGAGATTGTTGTGCTAAGTACAGTAGAGTTCCCAACAAGAAATGCTTCCCACAGAGGAGTTCGCTTTACTCTTTTGAAAGGAATTAAGCCAAATCAAAGAACGTGCTTATTTTGGAGGGAGCTGTTGGTGTGTTCTGTTTATTCTGTTTTCCACAGAGAAACTATTTCAAAACAGTTACTGAAGTTACATGTCTTAAGTGTAAACAAACTTACAAAGAAAATAGAGGACTGTGACAGTATGATAAAATTGAGCAAAATAAGAGTAGTAGCAAGCATTCTGCTCAGATTCGTTGTAGGGACTGCTACAGGCTTCCAGGTTAATGTTTCAGTCACACGTCTGAAGGAAAAGGTAGTAGTTTTCTGCTCAGCTCAAATGTTCGGAGCATATGGGCTGAAATTAAAGATGTGAGGGCATCTACATAAGAAGCAGAAAAATACACCATTACACTGATGCAATGTTGGAGCAAATAAAGGAAAAATAATTCAAAAAGAGGTAAATAAAAAGAAACAAAATTATAAATTCATAACACAAGAGGTGAAAATTAAGTTGTACACGGTAGAAAGTGGAAGCAAGACTTTGAACAAGACGTTGAGTGTCCAATTTTTTTATTATGTCAGATGGACTTTGATCTGTTACCGTGTGATATGTAGGGATCAAGGAAATCCACAATCAAGAGAACATAATCAAGACAATGAAAAGAGTTTTGCCAATAGCGAAATAACCTTGCTTTTATCCAAGACAGAAGTGTAGGCTGTATTTATGTCAACTAAGAGAAAATTCAAAGTGATACTGTCATGATAATGTCAGAACTACAGATGAAAGAAAGCACAACGATTTGGGAAGGAGGCAAGGATTCAGTTCTAGGTATATTTAAGGTATGTTCATGTATGTTTAAGAAAATCTGAATTATTTTTTTTTTTGACCTTATCAATGCCAGTGCTGTGCAAATACTTTACATTAATTAAAGTAAATATTCAACATTATTGCATTTGAATCCTCCTCTACTCCACACTCGTATTTCTCTATTTAATGTATCATAGAACAGTAAGGTTAAATAAATGCTTTTTGCACTTCAGCAATAGTCCTCATGTGCTCTGATATTATTCATCGTACTTGCGGGCGAGTTGGGATGAAAGTGGTTGCCCACACATGAGTCTTAGTCATGTGGCTGACATTCTCATCATACCATAGGAATGCAGTTGTCGTTTGTTTCTCGTCCTGGTATCTATCACCACAGCATGTGGGTGTCTGAAGTTGTGATCTCAGAGTGATGCAGGTCTTCAGGTGATGTGCCAATCTCATGGTGGTCTTGGAAAAGTGAGACAAGCTTTGAGCCATGTTATGTATCGTTAACTATGATGTATAGGCGTAGTTATGGGGATTCAGTATAAGGAGTAAAGTACTATGGTAACAAGCTGACACTAACCTGTACTGCTGAGTAAAAGAGATTTCCACATTCAGAAACAACCTTTTTTTTTTTTTTTTTTTAATGTAGGGTGACTTCATGTCTAAGTTAGGCTTTGCTATTGCAGAATGCTTCTCTCCAAATGCAGCAGTCATAGTTAAAGGCTGTTTCCAGACTGAACTGCAGGGATTCTTTCTATAATTACATCATATGCACTGCAACTGTATTGGGTAGATTCTAGTCTTCCAGTAAAAAGAAAAAATACAACCCAGGAGATTTTCAACAATACTGGCTTATGTGTGGTGTTTAATGTCCTTGTCCTTCAATATATTCTGCTGTGCCTGCACAAGAGTGTGGGGTTTGTTGGGCAGAAGGGAGAGGAAGGGACACCTTCATGAGCAATTAATCTACTTCTGTTAGAGTTACATAAATAGTTTGGATGAATCACTCTCTAGCATACCTGCTTCTGTCCATGGGCTGGGTGACTATCTGCAATTAGCCAACTAATTTTTAAACTAGAAAAAGCTAGGTAAGATTAACTTGTCCTTGGTTATTGAAAGAATGGTGGTTGCTCAAATAATCCCAGAAAATTTAAATCTGTTTTTGAGTTTGCTTATTCTTTTTTTTAATTTTTTAATTTTTCTGTCATAGGTCCTGATGTCTTTACATGAAATGTTCCCAGCAGTGCATGCAGCAGAAATGGCTGTCCAGAGAAACCCACGTTCCTGGGATGCCTGGCAGACTCTGGGACGTGCCCAGCTTGGATTAGGAGAGATAGCACTGGTAGGAAACCAAACAACATCAATGTGTGAAACTCATAAGCCACATCCTCTGGATTGTGTGTGAGAGAATGAAAGTACAGAATACATATTACATTCCAGGTACTCTACTGCTACAGCACAGCTCACCACAGTTTAACGATGAAGGTCCTGTGAAGCCCGAGCTGATATTCAGGCTCAGTTTTATACAAAGTTTATGTATTCTGAGGCTATTCTGTGGTGCAAACCAAAGAATTTTAAGTGGGAACAGTCAGTTTTGCATGAAAGCACAATATTAATCTGAAACAAAACACTGCAGTAGCTGCTTCTGCAGTTGCTATATTGACCTTACTGTGTGAAGAGAAGGAGGAGGAGTTGTCAATACGCAGTTTGCCCTCTTCGTGTTTTTTTGTCTGAGTAAGGAGCCCAGGGCTGGGTAAGCTCCTGTTGGTGCGTCCAGTGTCTGCTGGGTGTTTCTACTTGTTTGCCTGTCTGCCTTTAAGGCATATTGAACTGCTTTCTGATGAGTGTGTTCTGAAGTACAGAGACAAACTTGGGGAGTTCTTCTGACAGATATTGTTCACTATTTTTGAACCAAGCAATTTTTTAGTAATCTTGAAAGATGAAGGCTGGAGGACTCTTAAGAAGCTAAATGATTTCATAACTATTGAACCTGTGGAGGCCTCTTGACCAGGTGATCTAGGTCATAATTACCCTTTTCCCATTAGCCTTTCATTACCATGATTTTCTAATTTTTTGCTGCATTATATTTTTTACAAAGAAAAGTTAATGAAGCATAAATGTCAAGCCTTTTTAGCATAATGTTTCAGATTGGGGAATTACTACTTTTCTCGAGCAGCTACTTTTGTTTCTTTGTTTCAAGTCTTCCCCATGAATGTCTGTCATCTCTATCCATGTCCTATCAAATGGTCTGTTTTAAGTGTTTTTATTGCTTCACAATGAGTGATGCACTTTTTCTTAGGAAAAATTCAATTTACTGTGTTCTAATTCCAAGTTTCCCAGGTCAAAAATACAGCTTCCAAACAAATATGATTTATATTATGAGCTGCATAATACATTCATTTCTTGCAAAGGAAGGTAGATTTGGTTTGGTTTTGTCAAACTTGTGCCAGGAAGAGTGAGATAAATTAGTGCCTTTTTTATTTAGCTTTTACAAAATCTGTTTCCTCTTTTTTTTACTGAATTTACTAGAATAATTCAGCACTAATAATTAAATGTGAGCAGGCATTTTTGAAAAGGTATAAATTCCTTGAATTGTACATGTCAATTTGCAAGAGCAAACCTGAGTAAACTTTGCAGCCTGAATGTGGACACTAGATATGTAATCGGGCTTGCAGTATTTCTATCATTTAATTGTAAATATTTGTTTTTACAAATTATATTTACTGTACTGGTGGTGACAACTTAAGCAGTAACAATGTCACACTAGTATCTTCATGAGAACAATTCTTCATGTGAGACAGAGTAAGCCCCACATTTTCATTAAACAAGCAAACAAAAAAAAACAAACCACAAAAACAGAAGTAGTATTTAAATTAAAAAAGAAACCAACTGAAAGTGACTGAATCTCCCACGTTGGAGAAATTTATAAGCCAGCTGAACATGGTCATGAGAAACCAGCTCCAGGTGGCCCTCCTTGATGACCAGATGATGTTGGAAGATCCCTGTCAGTCTCAACCATTCTGTGATTTAAGCTTCTCTGCTCTGGGCTGGGGCGTCTCTGTCAAATCTAGAGTATGGAGGATTGCAAAGTTAACTGGGCAGATGTGTAAATATGAAAAAATTATGCATGGGGTTTTATTTTTTGTTTTGAAGGATGTGATTTGCTGTATTGCTACTACATAGTGGTTTGGCAATCTTTTAAGTGTGATACCTCATTTTGTAAAAGGCTTGACAATATGAATCAGGTTATGTTCCTATCATCTTGAAGGGATAAATAACTTAGGTTTTATTTTTGTAGATTTAGATGAGATTAAAATCTAACACTGCTGTGGTAATGTAGGTGCAACAAAATATGTGGATTATTTCATAGTGATGGAATAGTTAACTTTATATTATATTGACATTTGTTGTTCGTATGTGCATAAATGAAAAGAAAAAGTCAATGCAGTTTTTAAAATTGCTGTTTCTTTTATAATTTTGGCCTAGATTTTCTTGTTACTCCATTTAGAGTTATGTCACACTTTAAGTGATACTGCTTTCCTTACCAGGGTTTGATAAAAGACATTTCTTTTGGAAATCAAACATGTGACAAGGCATATTTCTGTTCTGTTGACTCCATCTTGAACTACACACTGGCCACATGTGCATTCTAGCACATAGTATTAGGGAAGTAGTAAGCCAAAAAGAAAATAAAATGCTTTGTCTGTTAAAATGGAGTTCTGTTAAATTATTTCAACAGCTTTAAACAGTCCTACCCAGTTACAGGTAATACCAGGCAATACCCAATAATACTGGCTTCCCCAGAGGTCCTGCAGTGTCCAGCTACTATAATGTCCTTTCTTTTAACCACTGTTGGAAGTCATAAATACATTATGATAACTCACCTAATTTTTTTTTTTTCTTTTTAAAGCATGAAAATATCTTCTACTTAAGGTGATTTTTATTTTCCATCAAGAAAGCAGAGGGGCCAGCAAATCTCCAAAAGTTTAAATGCAGGTGTACTCGGTTCTTGTGAGCATTCCCCACGGATTTAGCCGGTGTCTCCTGTTAGTTACTCGTCAGGTGCTCAGAATTTTTGAGGCTTTAACCATGATGATGAAGCCCATCTTCTCAACATTTAGACCTTGTAATTAAAAGCATTAGCTAAACTGTATGCAGAGTATACAACAAACTGGGATGGGGGAGAAAATTGTTATACCATTATTTTAAAATTTCTTGTCATAATTTTAGCAGTATAATTTGGTAATGGAGAGGTAAATGTTTTCCATCCTCCTGTATTTTCCCAATTTACAAGTTAAGAGTACTCGTATCACTATGGGCATTATTTTCATGGACTGAACATGTCAATTTCTAGGATGGGATAGATTTTTTTTTTTGTTTATTCCCTTGGTCTTCCTGGATTACGTCCATGCATCTAGTGGGACATGCTATAGACATCTCGGTGGTAGAGGCAGCCTGAAGCAGTGACTTCTGCCGAGCATGCTGCAGTGTCCTGAAGGGATGATCTCTGAGGTGTAAAGGCAGACAGGCAACAAGTGTTGTGAGGATAGAGGGCTGGGAAGAAGTGAGGTGGTGCTAAAGGAGATCTGGGAAATGGGAGTCCACCACTGAAGCAAAGGAAAGGACAAAAGGAGGATAGAAACCTCCTCAAAAGAAGAGTAAGAAGGAAGCTGTGAAGTGAGGAAGAGGCATCTTAAAGAGAAGCTTGGACACAGTGACTGACAGGAAGTTTTTGGAAACTAGTCTATACAGCGATACGTGCCTGGGGCCACAGAATCTGAGGAGACCTGTTTCTATCAGTTGCCCCAGGCCGTTCCTGTTCTCTGCTCACACCTCCAGGCTTAGACACTTGCCCTCCAGCCTCTTGTCCTAGCCATCAGGTACTGCACCCCAGGGAGCACATGGGCTGAGTCACCCCAGGGCATGATGTGTCTTCATCCATACTGTACAAATTCTCGTGTGGTGGAGAAACTCCAGCATAGAAGAATGAAGCTAGTGTCATCTCACAGACATCTACTAAATGGGAACAAAGAAGTTTGTGTTTATAACTCAGCTGAATTCCAGTAGGTATAAGCCAAAAATAGTCTTTCAAATATGGGAAGTTGCCTACTGTACTTCAAGTCTTTTCTCCAAAACAGAACTTGTATGTAAAAAGGTTTTGTGAACCCAAACTTCAAAATACTGTGTTCACCTGATTTTTGAAGACAGAAGAATTATTTTTGCTGAAAAGAAATTTCCAGAGAGAAAATTTGTATGAAAAGAAGAAAAAATCTGAACAGAAAAGTTGCATAGAGAAGTCTAGCCTGACAGTTCAAAATTAAAATAGAAAGACATTTACTATTCAGATTATATCATATTAAACTGGAGTGGAAATATCTGAAAGAAATTAATGTTTTTCTTGTTGTGTGCCTAATGTGCTAAACATTTTTGTAAAAATTATTTATATTCATGGTGAGTAGTGCAAGAAATAAGACTTACGTTCCCATAAAATATTACCATAGAATTATAGAATATTTGGGCTGCAAGGGACCTGTAAAGGTCATCTAGTCCAAACCCCTTGCAGTGAGAAGGAACATCTTCAATTAGATGAGGTTGCTCAGAGCCCTGCCAGGGTTGTGGCATCTGCCAGCTCTCTGGTGAACCTGTGCCAGTGTTACACCACTCTCATATAAAGAAAAGATTTCTTCCATGTATCTACTGTGAATCTCCGATCTTTCAGTTTAAAACCATTACACCTTGTCCTCTTGCTACAGGCCCTACTAAAAAGTATGCTCCCCTCTTTCCTATAGACCCCTTTAAGTGCAGAAAAGCCACAACAAGGTCTCCCTGGGGTCTTCTCTTCTCCAGGCTGAACAACCCCAAGACTCCCAGCTTGTCATCACAGGAGAGGTGTTCCAACCCTCTGATCATCTTCATGGCCCTCCTCTGGACCCCCTTGAGCAGGTCCATGTCTTTGCTGTGCTGAGGGCTCCAGAGCTGGACACAGGACTCCAGGTGGGGTCTGACCAGAGCAGCGTAGAGGGGCAGGATCACCTCCCTTGACCTGCTGGCCACACTTTTGATGCAGCCAGGATACAGCTGGCCTTGTGTGCTGAGAGACATTTCCAGCTCATGTCCAGCTTTCCATCCACCAGTACCCTCAAGTATTATGCTGGCTGCGGTTACAAAAAATAAATTAAATTCCATATTTAAGGATCCTTAATGACAGAAAATATTACTTACAGACATATATACATATCTTCACTGATGGACATCCTTTGAAGTAGGTCAGGTAGTGTCTGATGTAGCATAAAGGTTGTAATACAAACCTTGGGTGCATATGTGAACTGTATACCTTCTTAAAATGCTCCCTTACCTCTTTTATGGATCACTGTATAGTGAGAATTACTAGATCTATGTGTTATAAAAGCAAGTTATAAAAAGCATAAAAAACCAAAACAAAACAAAAAAAAAACAAAAAAAAACAAAAAAAACAAACAAACAAAAAAAAAAAAACCACTCAAAAACCCCCATGGTCTTCAGTTTTAAAGATTCTGCAAACCTGAAAAGATTTTGCATATGGGATATCTGGAAGATGGTGTTTTACAGAATACCCTATAGTGAGATGAAACATAGAAGAATTTATATTTTAGAAAATATTTACTACTGTAGTTCAGCGAGCAAGAATGTCTTGCAGTAGATTTTGTAGTGCTCTTCCCTACAGAAGCAAAAGCAGATATATGACTACATACGGATATAAAATCCCGTAGTCTTTACATTCGGGGTCCGTAAGACTGCAGCTACCCTTTAAAATGGGACTAGAAATACCAAGTTTATCTAGTGCCACCACATTTTCCTTAATGCCAGACAGGCAGTTGAAAAGGAGATTTATGTCTCCATCAGAAGGAGAATTACAAGTAGCGTTGTTGTTTTTCTTCTGTCTTAATAGAAATTAATGGCTGTGGAAGCAGTTACAGTGGCAATGTGAAATTTTATGTAGGAGACAATTCTGTATTTTCCTGTATTACGCTGCAGCTTTAAACTGAAACCTTTTGCAGCACTTAAAATTTACTTTGTTATATTCTTAGTTTTTATTTATTTATAAAAACTTCACAATGAATATATTTTTTTCTAATAGATTTACAAAGATGATAGTTTATGTTGTATTATATGAATCAAGGCGGCTTCTAAGGCTATTGTGTTTAATGTTGCTTGCTGTGCATCAATGTAACTATATGGATGGATTTTAATGAGTGGTCCTCTTCCACAGAAAACTTAAAAGTGGATGGTGTTTGTTTATATTTTGTTTACAATAGAAATAGCAAAAAAGCATTTAGTGTTTGCTTGTAGCTCACCTACCCTTGAAAATTAAAAGCTAGCAAAGTTGAATAAAATGGCACAGCATGCTCCTACACTTCAGAGCTGGCTGTGGACCAATAATAAAGTATTTTTTTTTTCCTGGAACTGAAAGGCTGCCCATTACAAAAGCAGTGATACTGATAGCATAATTATAATTTCTTAAATCTGATGTGTATCTCTCATCTGCTAAATTAACATCATATGAAGTTCATGGATTAATCTGTGCCAGCAGAAGGATGATTTGGCAGTTTCTGTCAATGCAGATGAAAAGCTGTGATTTTTCAAATTTACTTGCATGCTTCAAGTACTTATAAATTACAAAAGAATAAGAAACTTGTTGGTTGTTCATATGTCTTTAGCGTCTTTATATTCAGGCTGCTAGAATTCTTCCCAAATACAATCCAAAACAGGGTCATTACCGTTTTCCTACCCCACAGGAGGGCTTCTGTAAATCAGCACATAAGAGTTTGGGCACTAAGGTGGCCACAAGTGTGAAATACACACATGCCTATGTGTAGGTAAGGTCATACTTGACCTTTCCACTGATAATAAACTATAGTTAAAACTCTTGGTCTAGCATTTTTCCAGTATTGTAGCAACGTCTTCTTACTGCCAAATACCACATCTGCTGGATTAGATGGTCATGTTTTTTCAGTTACAGTTTTTTTTTCAGAGCAAACCTCCAAGTTGGGAGTTTGTCTGCTTTGCCTGCTTGGTTAAGTGTGTATTCAACCACAAACCTGTTAGAGAAACTGCTTATCAGCAAGGCTAGGACTACTCTAGCATTAGGCCTGTATGTGAAGTGACTATGTACTAATTTAAAAGCACCTATATTAGTGATACTTTAAGCCCCATCATCCCCTCTCTCTATTTCTTTAAACCGTATCTGTCTGCTTTTGCCTTCCCATGAGTACGATGAGAGGAGAAAAGCGGGATAGAAAACCAGTAAAACAAAAATTAGTTTTTAATTACAAAATTATTTTTGACATGTGAACTCTTATTTGTGCCCTTGTTGCCAGGTACCTGTTTTTTTCATGCATTCTTGGTGCTTTCAGAGACTTGTATGCTCAGTTGTTTTGGGGGTAATGCAGCTACTGAACTTAGAGTTATGGGAGGACTGTTCCACTAAGACAGACTGGAGTTAAATCTTTGTCTTTCAATGTTGTATGTAATTTTATTGTTGTTTTTAATTTCTGTGATGAAATATGTAAGTTTTACAGTGCCCAATCCTTGTTTCTTCCCTGTTCCCTCTAGGCAATCCGAAGTTTCCAGGTGTCCTTACACACCTTTCCAATGAACCCTGAAGTATGGAAAGAGGACCTTTCCTGGGCAAGAAAACTGCATGAACAGCAGAAGGCAACAAAGACTGAGGCAGTGCAACCACCGGTAAAAAGCAAAGAGCTGGCACAAGAATCAATCCCAGACTATGACTTTGAAAGTGATGAAATTGTGGCAGTCTGTGCTGCCATCGCAGAGAAGGAGAAAGCTCTTTCAGCAGCTAAAACGGTGGTGATTGTGTCTGCTTCAGGCACAGTAGAGACTGTTACTGAGGAGAATTGTCCTACAGCTCCTGATGAAACCCTTTTCATCAGGGCCCGATAAGGCAGTCTTAGGGGTTACTATACTCTCTGAGAACTACTGTTATTTATTGTATTTGGCTTGCTTTGGTTTTGTTTTTTAAGCAGTGAGAAAGCCTACAAAAGTTAAAGAACTTTGTTTTCTTTTGTAAATTATTGAGAAAGCAATGACCTGAACTATTCCATGCGTGTTTTTGGAGAAGAAAGCAAAGAGTTGATTCTAAAAATTTTATGAATAAATGTAATGTTAAAATGCTTAAATGCATTCTAACAAATGCTTTTATCTTTATGTATTTCATAATTTTACAAGTTAAACGTCTGCGTTTTCCCAGTAATTAATAAGCTGTTATTTAAACTGTAAAAGAGATTTTTTTAAAAAAATATATTTCAGTCATTCAATCATTTCATTAACTTTATTTTTTCTTCCTGTTAGTGTGAACTGTTCTGTGTTATCAGAAGTCTTTATTTTCATTAGGTTATTTTTTCTATGAGGAAGTTTCCTATGAAGCAGAGATGGATTAATTTTTTGCTTGTGTGTGTGATAGATCTGGCATCTGTTCTGTAGTCAGGTGAAATCAGTAGAAACCTTTATGCTGCTTTCAGAGGTGACTGGGTTAAATGCTTTCTGTTTAGATGAAAGGAAATGCTATTCCAAACAAGACCCTGTATGTGTAATTACTAAATGCTTCACCAGAAGAAATAAAAGTCAGCTGAGACCGAAGCTGGCCTGTCGTTATCTTGAGTGCTGTGCTACAGACGTCACCAGAAGTAAACTTGTGGGAGTTGGAAATAGGTATGTCTGAAGTGTGTTGGTGAGCTTTTTCTTTCCTAGAGAGGCTAATCTGATAAAGGGAGTTAATTTCTTTTTCCTAATTCTTGTGACTTGCCATTAAAGGTATGTTTGTAGTAAACCAGTTTGTCAGGATATTACCCGAGCCTCCCTTTTTTTCCATTTTGGATTTTGGATGCTGTGGTGGGTATTCACATTGTATTAACTTAGAGGCATAAATATAGGTGTTTTGTTTCATGTTCGTCTTTCTTTAGGGGAAGGTGACTGTTGGTTCCTCACACGGGCATTTCAGAGGAACAAAGTCAGGGTGTTTCTTCATGTGCTCTCTGCTGAGAGTGCTCTCTTTTCGCTGTCTTGGAGACATGGTGGAGAGGGTCGCCTCCTACCTGGACTGCAAAAAATGGTCCGCTGAGGAATTCCCAGAGAACTCAGGACTGGGAACTCAGGGTTTGGAACGTAAGTTCTACTTGATTTTGATAACATTTTACATGATAAAACATTTGAATAGCAGATTTTTAGACAAGTGAAACCTTTGAAATCCGTCATCTTTGCATTTTTCATACCTGATTTCTATTTTCAAAATAACAACTTTTTAAAAGCAAATATTGCTCAAGAAGCATAGTGATTTTTGCAATAGAAAGTCTATTGTAGAAAAATTATCTCAGATCATACTTTCAGCTGAATATCTTTAAGAGGTCACCTACAGTCTTTGCAGAAATTAATTATGCCTTTCAAAAACTCAATTGCTATGTTGTACTTAATCAGTTTTCATTATTTTTTGCAGGATTATTACTGAATATCTTTTCTATACATCTGAATTTTTAGATCACACACTGCAAATTTACATTTTTTAACATCTCCTGAGTATTCAGAAGAATTATAATTACAGTGACCAGAATATATTACCATGCTGCATTTTTATTTGTTCGTTCAGTTCGGAACTAGATCTTAAATGCTTACTGAATATGCATTTGATTAAGGTATGATTTGATAGATGGTTTAAGCTGATACAGTTGAAGAATGTCTTAATCTTACTTTTCCTAACAACTTAAATAATATCTTCAGCCGTAGGAAGAGTTAGTATGAGGAGGATTTGGACAGATTTCTTCAACAAAGAGACATTCTTTGGCTAGAAAAGGAGATGTGCGAGAAGCTGTGAGGTATGTTTTCATTTTGAAGGAGCTCAGCTATAATCAAACACATCTTTTCTCTTTTTCCTTTATACTTGTGTCAGTATTACTTACTCATACAGGAAGGACTGCCTCCATACTTTCGGAGGTCCGTGTTATCACAGAATCTGTTTCTACTGAAATGATTCACAAAATTCCTATTGACTTCAGCACTGCTGGGTCAAACTAATGAAGGGTTGTGCATCTCCACCATCAGGCAGAAGGACCATGCTGGGTTTCAGAGGTTGTTTTTTCAATTCCCTGTACTGAATGTGTTTTCCTTTTGATTAGATTAGGTTATGAATTCTAGGTATTGTCTAGGACTGTTGTGTTTTGTAGAGCACTGTAGAGCAGATAGCTTCTTGTAACACTGTTAACTCTCAGACTGGGAAGGAGTTAAAAAATTGATTATTTCAGCATTGTTTTTTGTATAGCATGCCATGTGTTGCATGTATGGGGATTTTTAGGTCTGTTTGAATAAAATGCTGACTTCTCTGCTGCTTAGTGGGTCTTATTTATTCTCTTAGTTATAACAAGAATAAGGGCTATCCTTGACCATTTTGGAGTGTTACTCATTTAATCAGTTGGCGTCTCCTGTTTTTATTGAACATGTTAATGTTTTATAGTAAAAACAAAATGAAAAAAGAGGACATGTCAGGAAATAAAAGGTAGTGCTCTGTGTTTCTAAACCTCTCAGGAATATCCAGATGAAAGGGACCCAAAGGAGAAAACCTTTGTCATCAAAAATGGGATATCTGTGAAACACACTCCCACTTTGCCATCCAGATTTTATTTTTATGGCTTGTCATCATCACTGGTGGCAGTAGCTGCAGCAGTTTCCATGTGTTTCCCTTCCTTATGAGTAATGTATTAAAATGCTGAAGTGTTGGCAATGTCATTAAAGAGGAAATATCAACAACATTAGGTTAGGTAAATAAATTTTGCTTAATTTAAAGTTCACAGTTAAACATTTTTAATTTTTTTCCCATTGAATCTATTTGCATCCAATGGAAAGAAATACAAAGCCTCAGAGGGCCATTCATATGCCTTGTGTTAGATAAATATCTCAGAATGAACTGAATCAGCCTCCCAGGGTGTCTAATTATTTCCATTAAGTACCATGGAAGCTGAAGGTAACTGACTGGCAGTTAACTTCAAATGCTTAAACAGGGCAGATGAATTCCACCTTTACAGGCAGGGATAAGTATATTTTAAAAATTACTCAAACTTAGATTATACTATAAATCCTTTCTGACAGTACCAGAGGACAAGAAATGTATGGATCAGGTGACAGAACAGTGACTCTAATTTGATAATACTGTAAGATAGTGGATTTTTAAAGTAGTTAAGGAGGGGAAAAAAGGAAATGTAAAAGTTTCCTCTAGTCTTCTAGTTCCTGAAAAGTTGTGCAAACATCTGTTGTTGTTGGGGATCAAGATTAGAGAAGTAGCATTGGAGTCTTACCTGGCCATACAAGGTAAGTGCTCCCCAGATCCTAAAACCAGGGAGAAGGAGCTAAAAACTAGTGTTGAGGGCAAATATTCTCTGGATTTATTTGGAGGTCATACAATAACTGTAAAACTATAATAAGCATAGTCAGGACTGGAGCACAGGCAAGCAGAAGCACGTGAGTTTGTCTTATTGGCAGGATACAGGCACTGTGTGTTTATCATAGGTTGGTGTCACATTAATATCTTGGTTCTTGAGTGGGTTGGAGGCCTTGACCTGTGGTATCTCCAGAGAAGGCTAGTTTAGAAGCAGGGAGGGGTTCATGAGCATGGGTGATTGTTGGATCCTGCAAGATGGGCTGGCCTGGTTTTGAGGGCTGATTTTCTAAGAGCTGCAACTCTAGGAGCTATAAGGGTTGCAGAGGGTAAATGGTAAAGGGGAAAGATTAGAAGTAGGGAATGAGTTGATTATTTGGGTTCAGAAAGTAGGTGATACGGACTTCAGTTGGTTTCCAGATATAGTAAACCTGACAGGTCAAGAACAAGGCCCATAGTGGAAAGGTCTTGCAGTATTTAGTAGCTTGAATAGTAAATCTGCCCCAAGTAGAACAGATCTGCAGCTGTGTCTACGAGCAGAGCTAAAAACTTTCTACAAAGCTTCTTGGTTAGGATGATGACTGGTGCCATTCGAAGATAGTGGATTACATGTTTTGTTAGTGCTTTTGGCATTGTGCCTAAAGCACCACTTTGGGTTAGGCAGCACTAGTGTTGCAGACAGCAGAGATGTGTCAGATTGATTTAAAACAGGATCCTGCAGCCCACCCTTATAGTCCAAGCCCTCTGTCAGTATATCCTACACTCCGAACCTGGGCCCAGTTTTAATGCTAACTGACATGAGTGATAAGAGGCTCAAATTACTCTGCAAATTTTCTTAGAAGCCACAGTCTCGTACAAATAGTGGCTATCATCCTGCCTGTGGTGGGTTTCCTCCAAGCCGTGCCAAAGGACAGGCGCTTAAACCAAGTTAGGGCTGGGCTTTGAGGTGTGGCATGGGGGTGGGAGGCCTAGCAGTACCTCTGGATGGACAGGGTCCTGTGGAAGCTCTGGTTTGGAATGTGTGGGCTGGACAGACTGCTGGGAGTGAGGGAGCAGGGCTGACAGTTACAGGATTTAACAGGATAGAGTTGGGGAGGTATTATTGTATGGGCAATTTCTGAATGGCAAATTGGTGCATTTTCTGTGGACACAGAGGACTGAGGAAGGTGGATGCAGGTGTGGAAGACAGGCTGTTCTGGGTTTATATGGATCTCTGGGAACCAGGAGTAGAACAACACTATGAGGTGTGAGAAGGGAAGCCCTTTTGAACCTATAGAAACAACTCATAACACCTAGCAGGAAAATAACCTTTTAATTTCCGTGTGGAAAATTAATCTCTGCAAGATTTCAGTTTAATTTTGCAAGACTTGTTATGCTCAGAAAGGCTGAGGAAGAAGATAATTTATTAATGTGTTTGTGGTCAGCATGGAAGAGGGTGCCAAAACTGAGTGGGACTGTTGCGTAGGTGACAGAGACAGAATAGTCTGTCACCCTAAAAAAAGCCACACTTGCCCAGTCCTTT